GTCCAAACCTGAGTGCTAAGTGTTCATCAGTTTTACAAATCTGACTGATTTGTATGCAGACTGCTGAATGTACTCCGACTTCAAAGGAAGCTCCCAGTTAGTCTACTCTAACGAGACGCTTTTGGGCAGGCAGCTGATTATTCTTGTTTTCCCTATAATAAGACACCAGAACCCACACAGGAAACAAACTGAACAATATTAGACATATTCTAGGAAGAAACTCACAAAGAAATAGCACTGTACGGTTAGACAGTTAGTTAGTAAGTAGTTGATTAATTACATAGTGATTGGTTAACCTTTCAGTCAATTAGTCAATTAGTAGTTTGTTAGTCAGTCAGTTAGTTGTTTGTAAGTCGGCTAGTTAGTCAAGTAGTTTTTTAGTCTGTCAATTAGTCAATTAGTAGTTTGTTAGTCAGTCAATTAGTCAATTAGAAGTTTGTGAGTCAGCCAGTTAGTCAAGTAGTTTGTTAGGTAGTCAATTAGTCAACTAGTAGTTTGTTAGTCAAGTAGCTTCTTAGTCAGTCAATTAGTAGTTTGTTAGTCAGTCAATTAGTCAGTTAGTAGTTTGTTAGTCAGTCAATTAGTCAATTAATAGTTTGTTAGTCAGTCAATTAATCAATTAGTAGTTTGTTAGTCAGTCAATTAATCAATTAGTAGTTTGTTAGTCAGTCAATTAGTCAATTAGTAGTTTGTTAGTCAGTCAATTAGTAAAGTAGTAGTTTGTTAGTCAGTCAGTTAGTTTTTAGTTGGTTAGTTTGTCCGTTAGTTGTTCAGTGTTTATTATGGTTATCTACCTTCTTTATTTATCATCAATTATGCCGTTAAGCGTTGTAGGGAGTAACAGTTTGTGATCCACTGCTTGATGAGCAGAAAAGGCCTATCAGCTGTCATTGCTAGTTGTTCTGGCTGCAATCTTACTAAATGACCAAACCATTTGATCTTCTGTTTCTCAAAAACTTTCCTGCATGTTGTTGTTCCTACAGTCTGATCATATCATTTCTAACTTTGTTGGATGGTTAAGTTGGCAGATTTTCTCAGGCATCTCATTACGCAAGTGTTCATTTTACCTAGCTTGGTCTTTCCTAATGTCCAAGTCTGGCACTGGTAGCACAGTGTTGGTATGAACATGCTCTTTAATATCTGTTTCTTGGCGCTCATATTTATGTTTTGATGTCTCAATAACGGTGTCGGTATATAGGTGCACTATCTCGTTGGTATCTTGTTTCTATTACCCGATCTATTCTTACAAGATATTTCAATTGTTTAACTTGCTTCAGACCAGTACCATTCAGTCCGATTAGGAATTCTGCAGACTTGCATTACTTCTGTTTAAGTAGTATTTATTTACATGTGATATCTTCTCCATGTTGAACTGAGCCTGTCTAAATGGTCTTGCATTCTACTTCCTGTATTGTAGTTTGTTACAGTTTGTTGGCTGCTCAATTAGAATGTAAGCTGGCGGGACATTTGAGAGACATCAGGAGCCTCTCTTGGCAGTAGTAGCTTGGTTTGGGCACCTGATTTGATTGCAAAGACTGTACTTCAAAGAACAAGGGGGGAAGGGAAGGGGGTAGTCGAAGAAAAGGAGGGCAAACAAGAACCTGAAAGGACAACATCAAGAAATGGACAGGACTAAGTTATCATACACTTATTCATCAAGCAGAAGACAGAAAAAGATGGCGGGTCTTATGTGCTAGTGCTTCCATCGATACACCTCCACAACCCTAATGGATTAAGGGTTGTGTTATGTCGAGCCAGCGTGTAGTGAGACAGTCATTTAGTCCCTCAGTAAGTTAGCTGCTTACACAGTCGATAGGTCATCCTCATCAAACCACTCAGTCAGCAAGTGCTCGGATCCCCTCCTCAGCAGATCTCCCAGAGTGTAGATACTAAGGGCACCAGCTGTAGCGTTCCACGCTTCCTCTTGGGGGTTTCGGGGCCCGAATGAGCTGGGAAAGATGGAAACTATACCCACTGCCACCCCTTCCCCACCACAAGCATTTCGTACACGGCGACTAATTAGGGGTGTTTCTTTCAAATTCGGAATGCATCGGCCTGAGAGGTGAAAAACCAGCAGTCTGCAAACAAATAAGCCAAATATGTAAAACGGATGTGCACGGAAAACTCAAATTCTGGAACAAGACCATAATCCAGAAGTGGACGAACAACTAAAACTCTCCAGCGAAGTGCACAGCCGGTGATCACAAAGAAGAAGAAATGTATTTCAGACTAAAGGACTTTGAAAAAAAAAAAAAAAAACGGATACAATGAGTGCTACATTAGAAAGGCGGATGATCTAAAGAATTTCCCTGAGAATTTCCCAGGCGTCAAAACTGAACATCAAGTTCACCGCGCGTCTGACGACGCCACTCACTCACAACCTTGGCTGTAAACCGAGTTGTTGCGTGTAAGAGATGGCGGGTGTGTGCTTCAGGATAGATATCCAGCATCAGAGACGTCGAAGCGTGGGAGCATGTGTATCTTGCGTCCCTCCCCCGCCCCTGCAAGTTAACCGAGAAATGTTCCGGCGCCCCATTGTGGGGGAAAACAAGAATAGACCCACTGCCTCCCCAAAAGCATGTCGTAATAGTCGACTAATTGGAGAGCTTCCTTTGAAGTCGGAGTGCATCTGCCGGAGAGGCAAGGAACCAACAGTCTGTATTCAAGAGAATGAGATCTGTAAAACTGATGCACACGCAACACTCAGGCTCTGGAGCAGGACTGCAGTTCAGTAATGGACGAGCGACCAGAACTTTCTGCCAGAGTGTACAGCTGGTGAACGCGAAGAAGAAGAAGATTACGAAAGCAAGCGGTACCCAGACCCGAAACCATGTATGCCTGTCTTATAAGCATTTGATTGCATTGTATGAGCATTTGAAATTCTAGTGCAGCAAGAGAGGAGGAAAAGACGCTGGCTTTGGATATGACACACGTTGAGAAATCATAAGAACAAAATAACCAGAATGTTTTTGCTCTGGAACCCACAAGGGGCATCAAAAATAAAGGCAAACCAAAGAATACACAAAGAAGGGAGATGTAGAGATAAGTAAAAAAAAAAATTGTCTTCAGAATGTCTCTCTTGCCCAGTACAAGTGTTCTAGTAGCTATCGCTTTTGTAGCCAGACAATCCGCTCTTTTATTCCCTAGCACTCCTGAATATCCCCAATTGTTTATCCACGTGGGTGATTAAGATGCTGACTTAGTGGTGCTTGGTATTCACTCGTTCATTCCTCACTAAACAAGCTTTGACCCTCTGCGCCCCTTGAAGGTAGAAAACTTTCTAACGCCCCTGCCCCCTCTCATCAACCCCGGCCTCCCTCTTTTCTCAAACACACACACACACACACACACACACACACACACACACACACACACACACACACACATTTCGTTGAGTGGGCGCCCTGATCGTGCAGTTACTAGACGAGTTTTCCGTTTCCAAGCCTCGGTTTGAATTTCACAAACTTCAAAGAAATTGAAAATGGCTGAAGATGGGTGAAGACGTGTTGTTTATAAATTGTGAAAGGTGTGGGTGACTGTTCTGTGAAATTTGATAGTTATGGGGGATAATTTATCCTATAATTGGGTTCTTTCATTTGTTATATACCAGGTAACTCGTCGAGAGTTGATCAGTAACTTACTTCAACCAGAGAAATGATCATTTTATTTGTATTTCTTCTTTCTTCAGTCCTTCTTTATTGTTACTATTCTTGGTATCTCAATTCTTCTTTCTCCTTATCGTCAAAATTATCATCTTCGTCCTCCTTTTTTTCCTGCTCTTCTTCTCCTCCTCCTTCTCCTGCTTCTTCCTCTTCTTCTTCTTCTTCTTCTTCTTCTTCTTCTTCTTCTTCTTCTTCTTCTTCTTCTTCTTCTTCTTCTTCTTCTTCTTCTTCTTCTTCTTCTTCTTCTTCTTCTTCTTCTTCTTTTTCTTCTTCTTCTTCTTCTTCTTCTTCTTCTTTTTTTTCTTCTTCTTCTTCCTCTTCTTCTTCTTCTTCTTCTTCTTCTTCTTCTTCTTCTTCTTCTTCTTCTTCTTCTTCTTCTTCTTCTTCTTCTTCTTCTTCTCAAGGGGAGAGGGGCTGGAAGGATCCCAAAGGTAAAGTTGAATACAGAAGGAACAATTATTGTAGAAAGGTTGGGAACTGAGCGTCTGAGAACACGGTGGATCCTGACACCCCATGTTCTGATAATAGATTCGTCCAGTTTGGTTTAGACATATTGCTTGAAATATTCGGTACGCTTTCATGCGTGTCCGGCATACAATGCTGGACCTCTATTTTATAGACCAAACGACACTCAATGGGTGATATGGCCAACACCCTGCGGCCGCTTTTACTTTTCAGGACTAAACCCGGTACCCGTTTAAGGCTGCGTCGACCTGGGACCCAAGGATATATTTGAAAAAAAAAAAACTTCAGCCCCATTAGAATTTGAACCCCAGATACAGTTCTGATCCGCAGGCGAGATTCTAGTCGCTGCACCACGGCAACTCCCACCAGGTTATGTCCGAGGAAAGTAAAGATGGTCGGCATGATGGAAGCTTTGTTATGTTATCACAGTCACTGCACATTGGGTATTTCTATGCGTGCTCAGTACTCCGATGCAGCAGCCAATCCAAGGTACTTTTACTAAGTGATCCCATGAGAAGTTGGTTATAATGTCTCCTATCTCAGTCTCGAAGGCGGCATAGATGTGCTTTACCATGCTTTACTCAAATATCATGCAATCGTGTTAGTGTCAGAGATTCGTCATTATTAACTAGCCAAGTCCGTACAACGTTGGTGATATCTGTTCTATTTATGCGTCTTTATACGTGATTTGGTGCATTGCTTGCGTTTGGACCGCTCGCTCATTACCCTTTACTCCCCCAGGTATGAAGATCCAGGTGAGAGAGGTTGAGTGCGATTTCCGAATGCTTTCCACCTATTCAGAGCGCATACCACCTGTTGCTATCTTTGAAAGCATGTTCATGGAGTTTGATACAATTACTGTCGTGTGGCAGTTTATGCAGGTAGCCATACAAGTTCCCAAAAAGCAACAACTATGTGAGACATGGATGTGAGACATGGATGTGAGACATGGATGTGAGACATGGATGTGAGACATGGATGTGAGACATGGATGTGAGACATGAATGTGAGACATGGATGTGAGACATGAATGTGAGACATGAATGTGAGGCATGGATGTGAGACATAGATGTGAGACATTGATGTGAGACATGGATGTGAGACATGAATGTGAGACATGAATGTGAGACATGGATGTGCGACATGAATGTGAGACATGAATGTGAGACATGAATGTGAGACATGGATGTGAGACATGGATGGTAGACATGAATGTGAGACATGGATGGTAGACATGGATGTGAGACATGAATGGAAGACATGAATATGAGACATGAATGTGAGACATGAATGTGAGACATGAATGTGAGACATGGATGTGAGACATGGATGGTAGACATGAATGTGAGACATGGATGTGAGACATGAATGTGAGACATGGATGTGAGACATGGATGGTAGACATGAATGTGAGACATGAATGTGAGACATTAATGTGAGACATGAATGTGAGACATGAATGTGAGACATGGATGTGAGACATGGATGTGAGACATGAATGTGAGACATGGATGTGAGACATGAACGTGAGACATGAACGTGAGACATGAATGTGAGACATGGATGTGAGACATGAATGTGAGACATGGATGTGAGACATGGATGTGAGACATGGATGTGAAACATGGATGTGAGACATGGATGTGAGACATGGATGTGAGACATGAATGTGAGACATGAACGTGAGACATGAATGTGAGATATGAATGTGAGACATGGGTGTGAGACATGAACGTGAGACATGAATGTGAGACAAGGATGTGAGACATGAATGGTAGACATGAATGTGAGACATGAATGTGAGACATGAATGTGAGACATGAACGTGAGACATGAATTTGAGACATGGATGTGAGACATGGATGTGAGACAAGGATGTGAGGCATGAATGTGAGACATGGATGTGAGACATGAATGTGAGACATGGATGTGAGACATGAACGTGAGACATGAATGTGAGACATGGATGTGAGACATGGATGGTAGACATGGATGTGAGACATGGATGGTAGACATGAATGTGAGACATGGATGTGAGACATGAATGTGAGACATGAATGTGAGACATGGATGTGAGACATGGATGGTAGACAGGAATGTGAGACATTGATGGTAGACATGGATGTGAGACATGGATGGAAGACATGAATATGAGACATGAATGTGAGACATGAATGTGAGACATGGATGTGAGACATGGATGTGAGACATGAATGTGAGACATGAATGTGAGACATAAATGTGAGACATGGATGTGAGACATGAATGTGAGACATGGATGTGAGACATGAACGTGAGACATGAATGTGAGACATGGATGTGAGACATGGATGGTAGACATGGATGTGAGACATGGATGGTAAACATGGATGTGAGACATGGATGGTAGACATGAAATTGAGACATGGATGGTAGACATGGATGTGAGACATGGATGGAAGACATGAATATGAGACATGAATGTGAGACATGAATGTGAGACATGGATGTGAGACATGAACGTGAGACATGAATGTGAGACATGGATGTGAGACATGGATGGTAGACATGAATGTGAGGCATGGATGTGAGACATGAATGTGAGACATGGATGTGAGACATGAATGTGAGACATGGATGTGAGACATGAACGTGAGACATGAATGTGAGACATGGATGTGAGACATGGATGGTAGACATGAATGTGAGGCATGGATGTGAGACATGAATGTGAGACATGGATGTGAGACATGAATGTGAGACATGGATGTGAGACATGGATGTGAGGCATGGATGGTAGACATGAATGTGAGACATGTATGTGAGACATGAATGTGAGACATGGATGTGAGACATGGATGTGAGGCATGAATGTGAGACATGAATGTGAGACATGAATGTGAGACATGAATGTGAGACATGGATGTGAGACATGGATGTGAGGCATGGATGGTAGACATGAATGTGAGACATGTATGTGAGACATGGATGTGAGACATGAATGTGAGACATGGATGTGAGACATAGATGTGTGACATGAATGTGAGACATGAATGTGAGACATGAATGTGAGACATGAATGTGAGACATGGATGTGAGACATGGATGTGAGACATGGATGTGAGACATGAATGTGAGACATGGATGGTAGACATGGATGTGAGACATGAATGGTAAGCAGGAAAGCAACAACAACAACAACAACAATTACCTGCAGTAGTGATGTGCTTTCTGAGAAAAATGCAAAGAACATCATGGAAGGATAGAAAAACAAATAAAGCATTCCTCGTAGAGAAAGATAAAAGTCGTTAACCATTTAGAATAATTAGATGTAGACATTTATTTTTTATAGACATATTATCAGAAGTAATTAGCACGAGAACTTGTTAATAACTTGCAAGACATGTAAAGAAAACATGAGTAAGGCAAAGAGATAAATACCAGAGTGGCTTGGCGACACGGGTGGGGATAGAAAAGACCATTGATCTGATCCGTGATTTTGGTGATCGTGTGAGATTAGGAAACGTGCCAGCCTACGCTCACTGACACGGCACACGATGATGACTGTGGGTTGACGGCAGCCAACCTTCATTACCTGCAATCACTTTGCTTGTACACCAGGGCTTCCAATTAGAATAATTTTTTGAAAACCCTAGCTAAGTTGAACACAAAAACCCAAGCAACATATAGACAAAGAAAAAAAAAAGCCAAGATTGTTAAAAAGTACACATTTTATAGTTACGAAACAAAACATTTACCCACTATTTTTTACAATTTTTTCACTATTTGAAAAAAAAAAACCAGATTTCGAAATTTTAACCCAAGGCGTCAAATAGAAACCTAGATCTGGGGGTAAAAACTCATCATTGGCAGCCCTGACAAACAGCAGGCATTGTAGAATCTCAGCGGTGGAGAATCTTTGGTCTGACGACCCACTCCAGAGCATAGCAGACTTTACTGTTTTACTCCTCCTCCGTTAGTCAGTCAGTCAGTCAATCAGTCAGTTACAGGTCAATCGATACATCACCATCCCCATCACACATCGAAATAAGTCAGTCAGTCAGTCAGTTACAGTTCAATCGATACATCACCATCACCATCACACATCGAAATCAGTCAGTCAGTCAGTCAGTCAGTCAGTTACATGTCAATAGATACATCACCATCCCCATCACACATCGAAATCAGTCAGTCAGTCAGTCAGTCAGTTACATGTCAATCGATACATCACCATCCCCATCACACATCGAAATCAGTCAGTCAGTCAGTCAGTTACATGTCAATCGATACATCACCATCCCCATCACACATCGAAATCAGTCAGTCAGTCAGTCAGTTACATGTCAATCGATACATCACCATCCCCATCACATCGAAATTAGTCAGTCAGTCAATCAGTTACATGTCAATCGATACATCACCATCCCCATCACACATCGAAATTAGTCAGTCAGTCAATCAGTTACAGGTCAATCGATACATCACCATCCCCATCACACATCGAAATCAGTCAGTCCGTAAATGCGCGGATCCCACAGCCAGGGCTGCCAGTGGGGTATTTAACATATCCTAAGCTAAGCTGACTAAAAAAATCCAGCAATACAAAAGCAAAGAACAATAAACACATACAAAAGCCTAAGATTGATAAAAGGTATCAATTGTAAAGTTACGAAACGAAACATTTACCTACTATTATATAAACATATAGTTTGTAAAAAAAAAATTTCAAAATCTTAACCCAAGATGTCCAATAAAAAAAAAACCAGTTCAGGGGGTAAAAACCCATCGTCGGCAGCCCTGCCCACAGCGTATAGTGGCTGGCGACACCGTCTCTGTGGTATAGTCTCCTACAGAGGTCGTACCCAGCTTTAAACATCTGTAACTTCAGTAACCGTTCGGTTGGAGTTGTTGAAACATAACTAGCTTTAAACATCTGTAACTTCAGTAACCGTTCGGTTGGAGTTGTTGAAACGTAACCAGCTTTAAACATCTGTAACTTAGTAACCGTTAGGTTTGAGTTGTTGAAACTTATCCAGCTTTAAACACTTGTAACTCAATAACCGTTCGGTTTGAGATGTTGAAACGTACCCAGCTTTAAATATCTGTAACTCAGTAACCGTTCGGTTTCAGTTGTTGAAACGCAACCAACTTTGAACATGTGTAACGCAGTAACCGTTCCGATTAAGTTGTTATAACGTACCCAGTTTTAAACATATGTAACTTAGTAACCGTTCGATTTGAGATGTTGAAACGTACCCAGCTTTAAACATCTGTAACTCCGTAACCGTTCGGTTTGTGTTGTTGAAACGTACATAGTTTTAAACATCTGTAACTCAGGAAGCGTTCGGTTTGAGTTGTTGAAACTTACCCAACTTTAAACATTTGTAACTCAGTAACCGTTCGGTTTGAGTTGCTGAAACTTTGCCATGCGACTTGTTAACAATCGTGTTATTGTAACAATTTTAATGTAAATAATGATCTAGTTTTACTAGTTTAAAGCTAACAGTCAGCATGCTTACAGTTAGTTAAGTAACCGGAACTTCAGATTGCATGAGTATCCTAAACGTTTCAAGCTCATGTGGTCATTTCCAGCATTAGCCTCCTGTAACTTAGATGATCACAATTTGTCATTGTATGCAGGATATGCTACCAGAATAATCTCTACACATTACTACACATGTGAACTGATTTTCAAACAAACGCCACTTGTTTGTCATCTACTGCCCATTTTTTAGAGGGAAACAAATTATTTATCAAGCAAAGATAACAGAAAGGTGCGGTTTTAATAAAATAGCGCTCGTGTAAACCTGTAAATTATAACATCGTGCTAAAACTAAGACTACTTGCAAATGTTCGTGTTGGTCCATATAGGAGTTTTAGAGATTCTTGTTAAAGAGTGAGGCCACGACTTTTTAAACACACTATAGTCATTCTTCTTCTCCGGCTTCCTGCTTTGTACTCTTATCTGGGCTCATTCCTTTTCTCACTTCCCCCTTCCGTGTTTGAAACAAAATCCTAGCTCATTTACCGAAAACAATTACCTCAAAGCCTCTTCAGCGTTGTCGTTCCCTTCTCGGTACATGCCGATCTACTGTTGCCCGCCTCCCATTCTACGTGTGTGCTGCCTGTCCTCCAATGTTGCCTTGTTCTTATCGCCTGGATCTAACATGGTTCTGGCGTTTTTATCTATAGAACTCAACAAGGCGCTCACGCACTTTTGTCCAAGAATTCATCTCCTGTAATTTGTTGATCATAACAAGCTTCTCGTAGTTTCCAGCTCTAGAAGACATCTCGGCTGAACCCCAAGAATGAAGGAACGAGAGGCACGCCTGTTCCTTCGTTTCTTTGTGTCTGTCGCTACAGATGTGGTTACTTGTGTTGCATAGATAGGAACTCAGTCTTTCCTTTTCTCCCCCCCCCCCCCCCCCCCCCCCCCCCCAAAAAAAAAAAAA